TACCTTAATTATTTCCTCGTGTCTAAAAACCACAGTCGAGTAAATAAAGTCACTAAAATGTTAATTAGAAGTGTTGATATGTCTTAAGAAATGTATTTTGAAATTTCATGGCGGCCATTTTGAAAATTCGATGCCACGCCCACTTTAAAGGCCGATTTCGTTGAAGTCCACCTCTAATTCGGTTAAGCACCTATCAAAGTACATGTGTGCCAAATTTGGTGCTTTTATCAAAAAGTGAACACTTTACCTCTTTTTGGGAGCTTAGAACCCCTACTAACATGTTAGACAAGGTAGATGAACAGCTAGGATGTAATTTCAGAATTTGTAAGTTGCCATCCAGGTAGAAAAGATAAAATTGGAATAATAAAAAAATAAAATGACAAGTTATCTGACTGGACTGTCTGGTATTACTATTAATACTGATCAATTAGAGGTGTTATATCAGTGCTCTAAGATTTGGAATGTGTATTTAATATGACAATGTGCCTATTCAAATTCAAACTTCAAAACATACAGATGTACATAGTGAAAGTATAAATGCAGATTGAAAATAGGCTTATTTTTGATAATTATGTACTGATAGTATATAAAATTTTGTAAATAATGTTTTATTAGCTATCATACTCATAATATATATTTTAGATACTTTAGTCAAAACACATTCCTCTTTGAAATTTACAAATTGACCTTTTAAAATGATCAGAATTGGTTGCTTTCAACATAGCCTGAAAATGCAGGAAATGCCATTTCCAGGCTCTACATTTCAAAATTTTTGTGGGGGAGTACCCCCGGACACCCCGCATCGGCTAAATATTTCTGCAGTGGCACTTTTTGGGAGGCCACTACGGCCTGCACTTGCACATCTCAGGCAGATGAGTTGTGTAACAAACCTTTGTCTCTATGACTTATTTCACTTTACCTACCTTGTACGTCCTTACGGAGATATTTCATTCATACTAGATCGCGGGGGATACATGTAGTTGGCAACAACTGCCATTTCTAGTTATATTACATAATTACGCAACAAGTGCAGTAAAACAAATATTACTCCCTATACATACCTATAGGTAGATATCCCAACAACTATACATGGTGGCACGGCAATGAGCCCACTGGACGCCGTATGCATGAGTGCACGTAGACAGGTAGACTGTTAATCGGACTATGATCCGGAATTATGTAGGTGTTGACAAGCCGCTGATCAAACCTATCAGGCGGTGGCAATTAATCGAGGTATACGTAGTGTAATTTACCCTTGCGACTGTACATGTGTGGTTTGTGTGTAGTAGTGTGTAGGCCCCTACGTATCGCGTGGTTCCTTCCTCGTACGCAGGCGCGGCGAGGAATCGTCTATGGCGCGAGTACAGCACTGCCTCGGATACCTAGCGCAAAACCTGCGACTTTTTCATGCAATGCGATTCTTAAGCTGGGTTTGCACTGACGATTTTGTGTTGCCGAATTGCCAAATTGTACGAACTTGGCCAGTTGGCAACTGACAATCGGCAGTGTAAACGCAAAAGTTGGACGACCAACCGATCGGGCGCAGCGAGTTGGGAAATTCGCCGACTCGGAGCGGTCGAGTCGACGTTTTTTTTGCCAAGTGGCCAATCAGAGAACAGCAATCAGGAGGTGTGTGCCTCCACCCTAAGGGGAGAGCACGGTTTTGCCCGCTGTGAAATTGCTGCGTCAGCGGGAACGTGCAACTCCAACCCGTAGCGATTGTGCTGGTCGCTTGCAACTCGTCGCAAGCGACCAGAATCGCTCCGGGTTGCATGAAAAAGTCGCAGGTCTGCGCTAGGCTTCAATACACGTGCTCTCGTTATATCGTAGTGCATGCGTGCGTCACTCTATGATTGCTGCATTTGAACCGTTTTCAGTTGTGTGGTGCCAGTTCTTGGTTGAAAGATATTAAAATAGTATATATATGTATATATATATAAATAAATAAACAAATAAATAAATAAATATATATATACTGTATGAATGGTTAAAATTCTCGAGCGATCGCTTTTGTCTGGCGATCGCTTTGAAAAAATGAAAGCCGACTTACTCGAACTAGCATGAGAAAGTAAAGAGCAGCAGAATATTTCTTCCATATGGTTCATGTAGACTTTAATACAAAGCTAGAACTGAAAACAGGGATACCATGCAATATACAGATCGTTTTATAAAATTATAATTTAAGCTGAATATTTTCAAACAAAATGTGAAAATGTTTACACTGATCTTCGTACTTTACAGCGGATTATGTTAACAATCACTTTAAACATACGATGGTGCTGCCACCTGCAAATGCAACAACCTAATCAACAGCGGTAAGCACGAGCTACATTGTCGTACATAAAATATCGTCAACATCTCTATAATAGTAATCATCACCTTCGGCAGAAAAATAATTGAAACAGCACTTCCGGTAATATAAATAAGCTCACAAAACCTAAGTTATGCATAGAAATTTATGGTTACGGTGTGTCGATCTGCAGACCGAAGCAGCAACCGGCAAAGCCACAAACATCTATACAAAAGCTGCAATCACATCGCGAATCTGTAGTTTGGAATCACCAGAACAAAACCCGGCGCCGCCACCGACCGTAGGCGCACCGGTTACCTCGCCCCTCCCTCCCCACCCCGCGCATGTAGTACCCCCGTCATTAGATGGCTCAGGAATGAAAACATCACATGAAACACGCTCCACACCCCCGCGTGCCAAACACACACACCACCGAACGACCCGCCTGCAAAAGGTCGGCTGTCTCTTCATGGCAAGCGGCTCACGGCGGGTGAAAGTATAGCCAGAAAGATATACAAGGCAGTTCGATTAACATAACAGCGACAAGGGCGCAAGCAGCGACTACCTGGCACAGAAAACCCACAAAGTGACCGATAACACACGGAAAAGGTTCCAAAAACAACACCTATGCCACGTTACAGGTGGCACGATAGCTGTGTAAATTACCTATACACGTACGTACAACTGAACACTCGCATTCAGCACTTTTCCTATTTACTCACGCGGTAAACAAACCACGAGGTGGCACCACCACACACTGCCAGAGCTTGTGTAACTTACAGATGCCACCGGGCGAGTCTCTCGCACGCACGCACGCACGCACGCACGCACGCACGCACACACGCACGCACGCACGCACGCACGCACGCACGCACGCACACACCGGTCAACGTCACGCAATACGGTGACAATATTATAATAAAAGATGCACCCGTGTGAACGCTTGTGAATGGATCGAAGCTCATGCGTGATGACAGACAGAGTTGCGGCGACGCACGCACTATCTACGTTTCTCTGTCCCCACCACACAAGACACTTCACCACATCACCGATACACGTTTCAGTGCTTACTAATACACAATATTCAGCACGTTAATTCGTGCGAACATACACACACGCACGTACGCCAACACGCACGTAGGCATACACATACACGCACGCGCACAAGCACGTAGGCATACACATACACGCACGCGCACACCCCATTCACGTACACGCACACGCACACGCACGTACGCGCACACCCCATACACGCATGCACGCACGCACGCACGCACGCACGCACACTCATACACACGCACACTCACACACTCACACACACAAGGCAAGTGCTCATGGAAACAATGCCAGATAACTTCAACTAGTCAGACTTTAAATAACTTAAAAGTACTCTTATTTACTTTCCTTTATAGCAAGTGTCGAAATCCGGCCCATCTTACAACCGGACCATTTTACCACTGGTACAGTGCTACTAAACTTATCACAATTCGTTCATGCGTTCTTGACATCCGCTATTGCCTTATTAACTACATGGACAAGCCTATTCAACACATATACATAATATACATTAGTGTCACATATGGATAACTACAGCCAGAGATACAAAATACTACAAAATTCCATATGGGGGCCTTTATGACAGTGTGTTCGTTATACAAATAGCCAACAGAACTTCGACTGCAACGAATGGCAACACCAATTAGATTACTGCAGCTTTACCTGCACGTTAAAAACAGACGATGCCTACACACAGCCAGGTAATGCTACGTTCATACTTATTGTGCAACGAAATTCATAAACCGGTGCCACACACGGTGCGTGCGCACTGCAAGTGTGAAATCCACTCACGCGTGCGTGCTCAGAATCCACTATGCACTCAGTGCATTAGCATCGCTCGGCTGTACGAGCCTCTCAGATGCACCGACGTTGCACCGATTAAAGCTATGTACCAGCATCCGTGGGACTTGCAACTGTGTAGAGTTCCTACGCTGCAGTAGCACTGCAGCTTGGCATTCTGCGGTATTCGAACGAACCCACGTCACGGTCGTCATCGTCGCGCGTGACAATGAAACGATGCCCGTGGAAACGACCTTTGACCTCTTCCCTTCCGCATCGCCGTCGACAAACACGCAGCTTCCCACCAGAGGGCCGACTACTTCTGCCGCGACGCGCGCATGCTGCGTCGATGCGATTTCAAACAAAACGCACCGAGCCAAAAAACCGGTTTAGTAAGACTGTGTAATGCGCGCAAAAACAAATTAACTCGAGGGTAAGCAGTGACTGCAGTAGTGACGTCACAAACCATTCTCGTCGTCGGTTAACCGTAAACCGAACCGTCAACACACGCTCAGCCATTGCAGTCGTCACCATGCCAACCAGCGGCCACGCGCAGCATCCGTATCGCAACGAGACTAACGTGCTGCCACCTATCGCGGCAGCAACGAGGCGAAACATGCACGACAACGCAAGGTGACCTCACACACTACAATCGCTAGCAGTCACGACGAACGAAGCGTCAGTAAAGATAGTGCCACCCCGGTAGACTAACGGCGCGCAGTGTGAGGGCGGTTCTTGCTAAAGCATCAACATTGCCGCCCCCCCTCCCCTCACCTCACCTCGCCGTGCTACGATGGCACCCTTCTACGATGGCACATGCCCATGATGCATCTTCACTAATGTAAGACGATGCAACTGCCGCGGGGGCCAGGCAGCGGCGGGGGATGGAGGGAGGCTCGGGGGGAGCGCGCGGTCGACCAGCCGGCGGCGACGATTCAGTGATCTCCGCTCTTAACGCCCTCTTTCTCCTCCTCCTCCTCTTCCTCTTCCTCCTCCTCTTCCTCCTCTTCGCGCTCGTCCCTCTCCTCCTCACCGGCGTCGGAGTTCTCGTGTGAAGAGGGCTGCGAGACGGAGGTGACGCGCGGCGTCTGGTTCAGCGCGTTGTTGATCGTGTTGTTCGGGTGGATGGCCACGCCCGGAAAGCCGCTGCCGCCTGCCAACACCTGTTGTTGCTGCTGCTGCTGCTGTTGTGGCTGCTGATTGTTCTGAAAAGAGAAAATATTTCGCGCGGCGTGAGCGTCCGAGAATCGACGAATGATCGGGGGGACGCGCAAACGAACATTCACGGAGACATTCACGGACATTCGTGATCAGGCATTGACGGCCGCGGTCACGCGAGTCCGCAGTAACCAGAGATGCCAACATCAGTTACCCGAGTTTGCTAAGTGGGTCCGGCATAGCACCCGGAAAAATTTTTGATTCTGAGATGCAATTTCCTGCATTCTGAGGGTCAAAAATGACAATAAATTGACAAAAAATGACAATAATTGACCAAATTTTTGTTTTCCCGATCACAGGCAAATTCGTAGTTTGATACAAACTGGTCGTAGTGGTGCAAAAAGAATAGAAATTCGTATAAAATACGGATAAATCGTAGCGGTTGGCATCTCTGCAGTAACGGTTCGGCAGAGCGGCAGTTTCCGGTGTAGCGTGTGCACGAGAGCCGTCGACTCTCTGCAACAACCGACCCTTATACACAGGTCCGACCGCGAGAGGCGTACGATCTCGGCAGGATGCGAGAGCGGCATGCGCCTCTACGTACTTGTACGTACCTGTACATGGTGCAGCCTGTGCTGGGGGTGGGAGAAGGGCGGCCGCGTCTCGTCGGGCTGCGGGCTCTCCGCTCCGTCGGTCATGGCGGACTCCTCAGGCTCCTGTCCAACGAGAAACGGGACGACAGTGAGCAAGCCACGCGGTGCATCGGTCGTCACGACGACGCACCTCAGAGACATCGTTAGACAGTGTAGTCATATCAGGGGTATGCAGTATGATATACATCGATTATACTGCTCCTAGGGATTACGTGTCAACATCTATAGCAGCAATGTGAAGCATACCATAAATATTCAGATTCAGCATTATAATCTTTTAAATTGAGATTTAATGACATTAAATTGACATTAATTTACTTAATGCAATGTAAAAAATTTCGTCTAGTATTAGCACAAAATTCGACTAAACACTTTCTTAGAAAATATAAATCTACACGGCCTAAGTATAGAGTCAAATTATTAAGTATAGTCAGTCTACTACGAAATATACTACACCTGTTTTACGAAAGAGCACAACTAACCTTTTCACGGCAAGTTTTGCGTTCGGTTTAATAAAACATTGTACGACACCCGAGTAATTGGATGGGGCAAATATTCCTTTCAAAGAACGGTTATCGAGACAACTTACTTTATGACAAGTTTTTATGCAGGATAAGAGGACACCGACACAAACCAGGCAAAGGGAAAAAACACATTTCAAAATTCAAGGACTTTTCAAGGACATTTTATCGGAAATTCAAGGACATTTTATCGGACATTTTATCGGAATTCATACACAGAACAAAACACACCTGGATTAATTTAATAACCCCATTCTTAATCACTGTCACCTCTAAAACTTACCTGGATCAAATAATAAACGCTTCTAAACACTGTCACTTCTACAACATACATTGATTTACTGACTGATTTTACTGATTTACTGACTGATTTTACTGACTTACTGTAATTTGTGATCGTCATTTAACTGTCTATCGTGTCTATAGCTTTTTAAGCGCATTTAACGCAATTTTTATTGAGGTTTGCACATTATTGATGGTACAACATTTCTTTTTATTACAGGCAAGGATTCTTTCTAAAAATCCAAGGACTTTTCAAGCACAAAATCAACATTTAATAAATTCAAGTACTTTTCAAAGACTCCCCTCTAATTCAAGGACTTTTCAAGGACTGTGCGAACCATGTAATAAAAACATCATTGCCGTAGATATCGTCCAGTGTTTGTGGGCACCACATCGATTAACGAATGCCAGAACGGGCACTTGTCCACGGCACCGCGGGGAAATTCGATCTGTGCCTGCACACGAAAGAATGAAAACAGGGTTGTGGACACGCACCTCTTCAGGGCAGAGTTCGAACGCCTTCTCAAGAGTCAGCTTGGCACTGTGCGACCGTTCGAGGAAGTAGCCATTGGACGTCTCGTTAGACTGCGCCGGCGGAGACCAGTTGTTGTAGGGATACTGTGTGCTGGCTGTGTATGGTCTCTGAAACAGTACGCAACATTAGACAACAGCAAGCAACATTTTGTAAGGGATACTGTGAGTTCACACGATCGGTTTCCGACGTCAAAAGTTTTTAGGTAGAATTTTTCGTTAGAAAATGCTTTCACATACGGTAATAAAGATGGCGATTAATTCAATCGAAATTCAAATGTTGCTACTGCTAAGACGTACGAAAGAGCTAAGTGAATGCACTCCGTACACGCAGCAGACAAGCAGAAAGCCGGCCACTACTACAACCTACCCTCTCTAGCTCATCGTTCAGCCACTCAACGGAGCAAGCCCACTTGCGCTTCAGATCACCATTGCTCTGCAGCAACTCGTACGCCTTCTGGCAGCTGAAACGAGCAATCAGACAATGAGACACGCGGCCCCCTCATCTCTAGATGCCGTCAATTAGAACTTCGATAATCATTAAGTGGGTAACCTGAGGTCGTTGACTCGTTGGTCGACTAGGCGACCTGCTGGCACTACTCTCTCTATTGCGAATTGCTACTGCTCACGCTCTCATCGAGTGCAAGACAACGAACGGCTGGGGTCTCCGCCACCGATTTTCCGAAGTCGTTAATATTTTGCCAGTTAAGAGTTTGCTCTACGACTCTGAATGTTATCGGGAGAGCAGCGGTGGAAGAAGCTGCACAATGACAGTGGTACGTACTTGGAGAACAACGCCACCATGCATTTGATGCACTGATAGGCGCGTTTCTGGTGATGGCTTTTAGAACGCTGTATCGTGTCGAACAGGCCATCGCGGTCGTCTGGAATGCCTGCAAAGCCAACTGCAGCAAGATTAGACGTTGTCGAGACAGACGCAGCAACAACGCGCATCATTTGTAAAACAAACCGCACGCAAATAACAAGGAAATATTTATATCGCATGACAGTAACCAACGAACCATCTACATCTAGATCGAGTGACAACAATCGATGAAACATAAAAGCCGAAGCTGTATATAACGGCGACTCAAGAGTAACCCCCTAAAGTGTCCCCTATAGACAGGCGTGTGTTCTACCAAGGCTCATTCACTACACAACTCTAGGGAAACACCCAAAATTGTCCTTTATGTGCAGGTGACCGATCACTAGAAGTGACCGCCACAGCATGATCAACGCGACATCCGCGGGCGGCGGCGGCGGCGGCGGGGCGAGGGAGATGATGTCAGCCTCGTTCACACGAGACCTCGTATTTATAAAATACCGGATTTGCGAAATACCGTATCTGAGACAAATACGCGGCCGAGCGTTCACACGCTGATTCGCGGCTCCAGAAATACCCCCCATCATCAATAATCTCGTCATTAATCGAACGAGGATTAACCACTCACCAGCACTGCAACTTCGTTAGTGGTT